TGTCTTCCAACTAATTAAAGTGGTCCCTCATCTCACCTACATTAAAATCCAAACCTCTTCCCTTAAACTCCAAAGCTCCACATCCATAGTATCAGAGAGTGGACTCCTAAATGGCATCACCTAAGGCTTAGGAATCTGTGGTTTAAAACGCACTCCCTCCATGAAACTAGGAGCTGGTACTTTGAAAGAATTAACAAAATTGATAAACCCCTAGCTAGATTTGTCAAAAATAGATACAGAGAGAGAGAGAGAGAGAGAGAGAGAGAGAGAGAGAGAGAAAGGACCCACAGAAATAAAATCAGGAATGAAAAGAGGAGAGATCACAACCAACACAGCAGAAGTACAATTATAAGAGAAAATTATGAGCAATTATATACCAACAAATCAGACAATCTGGAAGAAATGGATAAAGTCCTAGAAACACATAAACTACCAAAACAGAATCAGGAAGAAACAGAAAATCTGAACTGACTGTAACCAGCAAAGAAATTGAATCGGTGATCAAAAATCTCCCAACAAACAGGATTCCAGAGCTAGATGGCTCCCCAGGAGAATTCCATCAGACCTTTAAAGAAGAATTAATGCCTCTTCTTCTGAAACCGTTCAAATAAAAGTAGAAATGGAAGGAGAACTTCTAAATTCATTCTATGAGGCCAGCATTACCTTGATTCCAAAACCAGAAAAAGACTCCACTAAAAAATGAGAATTACAGGCCAATATGCGCCTCAAGGACATGGATGTAAAAATTCACAACAAGATACTAGCTAATAGAATCCAACAGTACAATGAAAGGATTACTTACCACAACCAAGTGGGATTTATTCCTGGGCGGCAGAGGTGATTCAACATCCACAAATCAATCAATGTGATATACACCACATTAATAAAAGAAAGGATAAGAACCATATGATCCTCTCAATAGATGCAGAAAAAACATTTGACAAAATACAGCATCCTTTCTTGATAAAAACCCTCAACAAAGTAGGGACAGAGGGAACATACTTCAACAGCATAAAGGCCATACACAAAAGACCCACAGCTAATATTCTCAAAGGGGGAAAACCTGAGAGCTTTTTCTCTACAGTCAGGAAAACAACAGGGATGTCCATTCTCACCACTGCTGTTCAACATAGTACTGGAAGGCCTGACTTCAGGAATCAGACAGCATAAAGAAATAAAAAGCATACAGATCAGCAAGGAAGAAGTCAAATTTTTACTTTTTGTAGATGACATGAAACTCTATGTAGAAAATCCAAAGACTCCACCCAAAAATGCCTGGAATTGATACAGGAATTCAGCAAAGTAGCAAGATATAAAATCAGCACACAGAAGTCTGTTGCATTTCTATACACCAGTAATAAAGCAGCAGAAAGAGAAGTCAAGGAATTAGTCCCATTTGTGGTTGCACCAAAAACCATAAGATACCTAGGAGTAAACCTAACCAAAAAGGTAAAAGATCTGTTCTCTGAAAACTATAGAATACTTATGAATTTGAGGAAGACACAAAGAAATGGAAAAAACATTCCATGCTCATGGGTTGGGAAAACAAATTTTGTTAAAATGTCCCTATGGCCCAAAACAATCTAGACATTTAATACAATCCCTATCAAGATAACATCAGCATTTTTCACAGAGCTAGAACAAATAATCCTAAAATTTGTATGGAACCAGAAAAGACCCAGAATAGCCAAAGTAATGTTGAAAAAGAAAACCAAAGCTGGAGGCATCACAGTCCCAGATTTCAGGCTGTATTACAAAGCTGTGACCATCAAGACGGTATGGTACTGGCATAAACGACACATAGTTCAGTGGAACAGAATAGAGAACCCAGTAATGCCCATATAACTATATGGTCAACTATCTTTGACAAAGCCAGAAAGAATATCCAATGGGAAAAAAAAAGACAGTGTCTTCAATAAATGGTGTTGGGAAAACTGGACAACCACACGCAGAAGGATGAAACTGGACTACTTGCTTACACCACCCACAAAAAGATAAGTTCCAAGTGGATGAAAGACCCAAGTGTAAGACAGGAATCCACTGAAATCCTGGAGGAGAACGTGGCTGCCTTTGAAGTGGCTGCAGCAGTTTCTCACTAGACACATCTCCGTAGGCAAGGAATCAAAAACAAAAATGAACTATTGGGACCTTATCAGGATAAAAGGCTTCTGTGCAGCAAAGGAAACAACAAAACTAAAAGACAGCCAGCGGAATGGGAGAAGGTATTTGGAAATGACATACATAAATGGTTGGTATCCAAAATCTATAAAAAAAAAAACTTATCAAACTCAATGCCCCCAAAATAAAAAATCCAGTCAAGAAATGGGCAGAAGACATGAACAGACGTTTCTCCAAAGAAGACATAAACGTGGCTAACAGACACATGAGAAAATGCTCAACATCACTCGTCATCAGGGAAATACAAATCAAAACCACAATGAGATACCACCTCACACCGGTCAGAATGGCTAAAACGAACAACTCAGGAAACAAAGGATGTTGATGACGATGAAGCGAAAGGGGAACCCTCCTGCACTGTTGGCGGGAATGCACACTGGTGCAGCCACTCTGGAAAATGGTATGAAGGTTCCTAAAAAAGTTAAAAATAGAGCTACCCTATATGACCCAGCAATTGCACGACTAGATATTTACCCCAAAGGATACAAAAATAGTGTCACAAAATAGTGATGAATGGATAAAGAAGAAGTGGTATACACACAGGTGCACACACACACACATGCACACACACCAGGATGCTACTCAGCTATCAAAAAGAATGAAGTCTTGCCATTTGCGATGATGTGAATGGAACTAGAGGGTATTATGCTGAGTGATGTAAGTCTGAGAAAGATAAATACCGTGATTTCACTTTCTTGTGGAATTTAAGAAATAAAACCGATGAACATAGGGGAAGGGGAAGGAAAAATAAAAGAAAATAAAACCAGAGAGGGAGGCACACCCTAAGACACTCTTAATTATAGGTGATGAACTGAGGGTTGCTGGAGGGGAAGTGGGTGGGGGACGGGGTAACTGGGTGATGGGCATTAAGGAGGGTGCTGGTTATATTGAGCACCGGGTGTTGTATTTAAGTGATAAATCACTAAATTCTACCTCTAAAACTAATACTACACTAAATATTAACTAGAAATTGAATAAAATTTTGAAAGAAAATAAATAAACAACATGTGTTTCAGGTGATTCCTATACACACTAAAAAGTTTGTGAAGCACTACCGCACATGATGTGAGCTCATCTATTTTTCTACCTGAGTCTGGAACCGCTCTCACCCTTGCTTGTGATGCTCCAGCCACACCGGCCTTTCATTTCTGAAGAAATCACATTTCTGCTCCCACCTTGTAACCTTTACATTGTCTGTTCCTTATTAGAGTCTTTGGAAATGTGCCTCTTGGCTAATGCCATTCAGGCCTTGAGGTTTCCCTAATTGTGAGCACAGGAGACTCCAAAGAAAAAGTGCTCATGGGACTGGCTCCTCATTATTTCATCATAACCTACATCTATCATTTGAGAAAATTACGAATCTGCCAGTCATGAATTGAAATCTATGGATAAGAAAATGGGCGCTCATTGTTCACTCTGTAGATTTAAGTTTTGCTACAGATTTTAGCAATTGTTATCACAGTGTGTTTTTTTTGTTGTTGTTTTTTTTCTTGAAGAAGCTGGTGTTGGGATATCACATTTGGAAAAGCTTTTAATGCTAGTTAGTGTCTTAATTACTTCATCTCATGATCTTGCATGCTCTATTAATTTTAATTCTCTTTTTTTGAAGGGGGGATTTGATAACCAAGCATAACTCTCAGCATGTTCTCTCTACATTAATCAGGTGTGTTCTGAACCAGCGTTAACCATGAACCATCCGTGATCGTTAAGCATGTGTGCTTTTTCAATTCCTAAAGTTTGCCATTTTCACAATGAATTCTGTTGCATTTCACAAGTCTCTTGGCAGGGTCTTTAAGGCTGACTTTGTTTTTCTCTTGTATAAATTAGCTTCAGTAGATTATTTTTATAATTGAAACATAAAATAGTATCAAAAAGTTTAGTTCTATTGAAAACCATGGATCTACTCAGAAGAGCATTTCACATTTTTTTCTCTTTCACAATATGTTTCCTACTGCAATTAATAAACCCCCTAATTTTGGTGGGTGTTATATAATAGGCATTTATTTATCAGTTATGTAGAAGTCCAATGTGGGCGTTTCTGGTCCAGTGGATGGCTTTCTCCCATCCCATAGGGCCTCAGAACCTTCTGCAGCCAGCCAGCAGAAGAGAAGTGTAGGAGAAGGCTCACCTTTTTTTTTTTTTTTTTTTTTTTTTAAGCCCAGAGTTGGGAGTGGCATCTCTTTTGCTCATGTTGCCTTGATGAGAATTTGTCACAAGGCCACAACTTGATGCAAGGGCGATAGGGCACTATTGTCCCTGGGTATACAGCTATTCTGAGTGACAAAAATCACTCCATGAATGGGGAGTACAAACACTGATAGGCAGACAGATAACTGCCTCTTGCCACAAAAACCTATGGAATTATCTCAGTGCCATGTTAGACGGCCACTGTCGACCCAAATGTAACATTCAACCAAAGCAAACACATCCCTCTCTCCCGGTTACCATATGTGCTCTTTACCCTTTTAATGGTGCCCTTAGTACTTCATATTTCCTCATTTAGAGATTCTCATTATTATTCAACCTACCTCATTATTATTCAAGCTTCTTATGGACAGGACCATAGTCACCTTGTTCTTTATATCCCTACCACCCAATAAAGTGCTTAACATAGTGCTTCAGATGTAGTAGAATCTCAATGAATCATTCTGAATGAATGAAGGAGTGGGTGAATGAATGAGTGAATGAAAGTACTACATTCCTATTGCGATATACTATCTCTTAAGATATATCCTATGTTTCAAGCTACCTCTAATCACTTTTGGGCTGAATAAATCACACAAAAATTAAGACCCTTTGACCTTTTTTGTCTTTTCACGAAGGACATGATGCAATCGTGACCCTCCTGAAGCATTATAAAAGACCGCAGGATGAATTGCCCTGTAATGAATATTCTCAACCTGGAGGAGGTATCCTTTTCTTACTAAGTTTTTGTCATTAGTATAATATTGTGCCAAAAGGTAAACCTTTATTTCTATTACTACTATTCTGGGGTTAGGGATGAGGGCATGTCAGATTGACTTTATTCTTGGAAAACTTATGTCTGGGTAAGGCTGAAAATAAAGAAGCATTCACTTAGGCTGTTTTCCGACTCACCAGTCTGCAGTTCCTTCAGGTTTAGCGTTCCCTCGACTGGATGTTTATGAGGCTTATGCATGACCGGGAAGGCCCTGGTGAGCTGAGATCAGTCGTTTTCCATTTCAGTAATCTATTAAGGCAGGCCAGAGAATACTCATACCCAGACACAAATTAAATCTGCCGGAGTCTACTAGACCTTGTTTTTTTTTTATTTTTAATCTTTTTATATACTCTCTAAATAAACACTTGCTATACAGTTTCAGTGTCTGGAAAAGGACCTGGGTTAAAGCTATATTCTCACTTGGTTTTCTTAGCAAATTTCTTTTGTCACCTGCTTCTTTGTATAATGTTTACTGTTTATGTAGAAAAAAAAATGCTACTTTAAACTCTGTAATATAATTTGATTTCTAGATGGCTCCTATGTGTCTCTTCCATCCCCCTTGGGGAAGATTAAAAGCATGACAAAAGGTATTTTAACATGGAACAATTGTTATATTTTATTACTAAGGATAACTATTGCCTCAAATGTGATAACCTTCTGTTTTGTTTTACATATTATAAATGATGACTATTTTGCATGCATAAATGATATTATCAACAAAGCATTCTGTCCATAATTAACCTTACCCTCTGTACTATTTTACATGTGCTATCTCGGTTCATGGAGGTACGGCAGTGAAAATATCCTGAGTATTAAAGGAAGATCAAATTCTCATAGACATTTGTATTTTTAATGAAGTCTAAATCACAAATATTAATGTCTTTAAGGAGAATTGGGAATAGGTTTGCCATAGGAAGATCAATTTGAAAAAATAGGTTATTTTCCAAAAGATCCCAAACAAGTAATACCTTGGGAAATTTTTGAGTGTATGCTGCACACAGAAATTAAAGCCATTGAATCAGGAATATTAAAAAATACCTTCATGATTCAACAACAAATTTATAGTTAACCATTTAGAATTTGAAGTTTTTAAAAATTATTTTTGGTTCGAGGTGTTTCTCTGAATGATTCATGGACTTATTTTTTGACATCTAATTGGCATCCCTTTGAGATTTAGCTTATGGGTATTTGGCTAAACCCATCATGACATGTTGAAGGGATCGGCCAGATGAGGCTCCTTGTCATGAGGTGATGTGAACAGTACTCCGGGGTTGCCATGTCATGCAGATGAGCTAGTTATTGATCAGATAAGAAATAAACCCTTAGCCCTGATAACAAAGGTCAGGGGACAGAGACGGGACTACTCACATGTTTTTAATGCAAAGGGACAAGTATCGTTTGTGATAAGGTTTCAGTATCTACAAGTAGTCAATTGTATCTGGAAAATTAAATGTTACCAGGGAACGACATTTTTGGCTAAGTAAGGTATGTACGTGCATCATGTGTACACATCCACGTGTGTGCTTTGTCTTAACAAATAAAATAACATTTCCTGTTTTCAGAAAAGGCAGATGTTCTCCTCCTAAGGGCTGGACTGCCCTCTCATTTCCATCTTCAGCTCTCAGAAATTGAGTTCCATGAAATCATTGGCTCAGGTAACCCAAGAAAATGCCCTTCTGCTTTAGTTTCATGAGCTCAAGACAACACGTGTTTATTCATTTCTCTTAATTTTAGGTTCTTTCGGGAAAGTGTATAAAGGACGATGCAGAAATAAAATAGTGGCTATAAAACGGTAAGAGAGCAGATGAGAAAAGTTAGCACCAGACTGGAATTGTGAACCTTAAGAAGCATATGCACAGCAAGCCCCCTTGTTTTGACCCTTCTGTTGACTGAGGATTTCCTGTTCCTGCCCTTTCCAGTTATCGGGCCAACACCTACTGCTCCAAATCCGATGTGGATATGTTCTGCCGAGAGGTGTCCATTCTCTGCCGCCTCAATCATCCCTGTATAATTCAGTTTGTGGGTGCCTGCTTGAATGACCCCAGCCAGTTTGCCATCGTCACTCAGTACATATCAGGGGGTTCCCTGTTCTCCCTCCTTCATGAGCAGAAGAGGTATGGTTCTCTTGTTCTGACTTCTCACTTCACATGTCCATGGAATTATCCTTGCATTACCTCCGAGGCTTTCCACTTGGATGAGCCTTTACCTTCTAACATCCCTGAGTGCTCGGAAGTGTGGCAGTTTGAAGATGGCTAATAACTTCTGCCCAATAATTATATTTTAGTGAATAGAAATACTTCTGTGCTTTCTTAACAGGAAGTCAGTTGGAGATAACAAATTCAAGGAATTTAAATTAGCAACTGAAGCTTATAATTAGGCCAAATATGCCATACTAATAACTTAGCTATATGTAAGCTGAGAATAAAATAATTACCAGGGGTCACAGTATTTATTTTTTAAAGTTTTAAAAGAGAATGGCCTTGCACAAATCTAATTTGAATTCAGTTCCTAGTACATGCATACAATAATTAGAGTGTGGTTTCACTCAGTTATTAAAGCAGAATCCATTTTCTGTTATCATAAAAAAATTAAGTATAGCATTATAAATATAAAATCAAGTGGAATATTTTGAATATGAGGGTTTGGTACCTGAAATGATTGATAATTAGGCATCATCTGATGTACAGAAGTTCTTTTTCCAGATTTTTTTTTGGATTTTTAGTCTAATCTTCAATAAAGCAAAAAGGGCTGAAAGATGTACAGAATAACAAATCATGTACGCCATTGATGTCTTTTAGAAGGATGTGTTATTGGCATTAACCATTCCATCCTCACTAAATCTATTTTTAAATTCCAGGATTCTTGATTTGCAGTCTAAATTAATTATTGCAGTAGACGTTGCCAAAGGTATGGAGTACCTTCACAACCTGACACAACCAATTATACACCGTGACTTAAACAGGTATTTTTCCCTCTAAATAATGAACATAGAATTGTTCAGGTGACTAGGAGTCTAAAGCAGATTTCAATATATCTAACTTCACTTAAGTATATTGCAAGTCAGGGTTTTCTATTCTGTGGGTTAGGTGACAGGCTACCTTACGGCTAAGGGATAGAAAGTTTTGTCATCGTCTTCTACGCAAATAGAAAGTCATATAACTGTCTCTCGGGGATCTTTCCAGAGAGTGTTATCTGTAAGATTCACCAGCCAGCTAGTTCTCAAGTCAAGAGAGTCAGAACAAGAATTTAGACTAATGACTATTATGGCATGTCAGGTCTCATACAAAGTCAGATATTATAAGAGGTTCTGATTTAAATTACCTGAAACACTATTTTTGTGCTGCCATTTTGGTATTTTTCTAATAAATATTTTTCTAAATAAATTCAGCCAAACCGCAGCAGCTCATTTACCTGTTTTTCACGTGAAAATGTTCTCCTGTGGGTTAGAGACTTGAAACAAACAAGGAATCGTAGTGTTCTAGGGGTGAAACCCCAAAGGATTAAAAAAAAAATTTTTAAACAGTGAAAGCTTTCTCTGAGCAAAGTCTTACAAGAAGGCCAGTATACAAAATGTAGCTCTTTCAGTTGAAGACAGAATGTAGGGTTTAGAAATCTGTTCACTTACCATTTTCTACTCCCAAGGAGGGGGATCCCTAGGCCACCTCTTTGGAATCCCAAAGTTGTTCTGGAGAATAGCTGGACAACCCCTGATCTAGTTTATGAAACAAGTCATATTATTGAACATAACTTTCATTTCACGATGATCAATAACATTCAGATCCCATATATAACCTTTTGTGTAGAGCCCACAAGAGACTACTAAAAAGTAACTACTCCATTCAGCCTTTTGTTCGACAACTATTTGGGTATCTACTATGTTTAAAGCCTTTATACTTGGCACATTAGAGCCTACAAGGTGAAGCTGCCATAGACTCCATTCCCAAGAAGCTTTCTAGTAGAGCTTTCTAGTAGTTCTAGTAGAGGAGGAAAAAAAATACTTTAGGTATAAAATAATAAGCTTTATAAGAGATATTAAAAATTCTACAAAATTTTTAGAAAGAAAAATTACTTCTGAGGAATTTAGAAATAACTTCATGGAAAAGGGGACATTTGAACTTGGCACCAAAGAATAAATAAACCCTGGAAGGGCATCATAGGTTTAGGGAAGACATTAAGAAAATAGAGATTAGAAGGTTAAAGGCATATATAGCAACAATGAATAGTTCCATGTTGGGGGATGAAGTGCATATGAATGTAGCTAGTATTCATAATGTATGAAACAGACAATTGGGAAAGAAATTTAGAAAAATAAATTGGAATAAGAGCACAGAAATCAGCGAACTCTAGATGTAAGGTAGTTTAGGCTTTGTAAGAAAGAAGTAGGCATTGAGGTGGTAGATCTAGGAATCAGAGATTTGGAACCGTGTCTTGGAATGATTCACCCAGTCTCTTCACTCAGTGGAGAAGTCAAGAAACTGGTGAAGAAGTTGTTGCCGTAATCTAAATGAGAAGTAATTTAAAAAAGCAGAACTTCACTCGTGACCTGACCCATGAAAATGAAAGAGAGACAGATAGGAAAGATAGGAGAGGTAAAATAAATTAGATAGGAGAGTGGTTGAGTCTTAGATATTAGAAGAAATATGTGTGGGATTCAATCCATTTAAAATTATTTATTAGTTTTCACACAAAAGCCATTTCTTTGCTGTTACCAGGTTTTTTCTTACCTCTCTTTCAAAAGCATGCATGTTAATAGACTTTTTTTTTTTTTTGCTTTGAGTTTCTGAACAATATTTAGGAAGTAGGTGATAAATTAGCATAACATAAACTGGTGACTTGTGAGTTGGAGGAGGGTTATCTTGTCATCCCAACCATTTTGCATGTAGTATTAAAACAAAATAGTGACCATTAAAAGTTTTGTCTAGTCGTAACTCTCCAATTATGGGACAATTGAGTGTATGTTCCTTTGCTCTGTAAGTGCAAGTTGTTACCACCAGGTTATAAAACAGGACCAAAAATATAAATTTTCATTGAAAGTGGAAATAGAACATTTACTGTATAATAGATATGTTTATATTTGCCATTTTTTCTGTTGCTTTTTTTTAATAATAAATTTATTTTTGGGATCCCTGGGTGGCGCAGCGGTTTGGCGCCTGCCTTTGGCCCAGGGCACGATCCTGGAGACCCGGGATCGAATCCCACGTCGGGCTCCCGGTGCATGGAGCCTGCTTCTCCCTCTGCCTGTGTCTCTGCCTCTCTCTCTCTCTCTCTCTCTGTGACTATCATAAATAAATAAAAATTAAAAATAAATTAAAAATAAATAAATAAATAAATAAATTTATTTTTATTGGTGTTCAATTTGCCAACACACAGATTAACACCCAGTGCTCATCCCGTCAAGTGCCCCCCTCAGTGCCCATCACCCATTCACCTCCACCCCCCACCCTCCTCCCCTTCCACCACCCCTAGTTTGTTTCCCAGAGTTAGGAGTCTTTATGTTCTGTGTCCCTTTCTGATATTTCCCATACATTTCTTCTCCCTTCCCTTATATTCCCTTTCACTATTATTCATATTCCCCAAATGAATGAGAACATACACTGTTTGTCCTTCTCTGATTGACTTACTTCACTCAGCATAATACCCTCCAGTTCCATCCATGTTGAAGCAAATGGTGGGTATTTGTCGTTTCTAATGGCTGAGTAATATTCCATTGTATACATAAACCACATCTTCTTTATCCATTCATCTTTCAATGGACACCGAGGCTCCTTCCACAGTTTGGCTACTGAGGACATTGCTGCTAGAAACATCGGGGTGCAGGTGTCCCGGTGTTTCATTGATTCTGAATCTTTGGGGTAAATCCCCAACAGTGCAATTGCTGGGTCTAGGGCAGGTCTATTTTTAACTCTTTGAGGAACCTCCACACGGTTTTCCAGAGTGGCTGCACCAGTTCACATTCCCACCAACAGTGCAGGAGGGTTCCCTTTTCTCCGCATCGTCTCCAACATTTGTGGTTTCCTGCCTTGTTAATTTTCCCCATTCTCACTGGTGTGAGGTGGTATCTCATTGTGGTTTTGATTTGTATTTCCCTGATGGCCAGTGATGCGGAGCATTTTCTCATGTGCGTGTTGGCCATGTCTATGTCTTCCTCTGTGAGATTTCTGTTCATGTATTTTGCCCCTTTCATGATTGGATTGTTTGTTTCTTTGGTGTTGAGTTTAAGAAGTTCTTTATAGATCTTGGAAACTAGCCCTTTATCTGATAGGTCATTTGCAAATATCTTCTCCCATTCTGTAGGTTGTGTTTGAGTTTTGTTGACTGTATCCTTTGCTGTGCAAAAGCTTCTTATACATTTTTTCTGTTTCTAATGTAACCCAAATTCTTTCAATTGTACCAAAAAGTCATCAAAGTTTACAAAACCTCGTTGCATAGGTGCCTGGAATATAATAGAGTCCCAAACTATTGCATTTATTATTTGTGAACTACTTTTTTACTAATCTTTAATCTGGCAACAATAGAAACATTGAGTTTTTCAGATTAATGGGGATATAGCATTGCACATTGCTCCAAAGAGTGTAAGTCCTTCCGGGTTTACTATGCTGTGGTTGGGTACGTAGAGCATATGCCCAGCAAACAATTTATTCCCCGTATGAGGTAGAAAGTGACTAAGGACCAAAATGATTAGGCAGCAATTTTCAAAGGATTTCATGTCAGTCAAAGATCAAAGTAGAGTGGAAAGCTTCATGGAGGATGTAGAGCTAAAGCTAGAATTTGGAGAACAGGTGCATGTCTTCCCTCTGGGTTCTCACAGCAGACTAACCCTTGCATGTCTACCATGCTGATGGAGCCCCACTGAAAGGGGAAGGGAAAGATGCACATCAGGGTGAGGAACTCAGACGTATTTGCACATTAGCATTGAAATAATCTGTTTACACTTTTCTTTCTCCCACTAATCTGGGCAGCTCAGTGCTCCAAGAACAGAGATCCTTTTCTCTTCATCTAGAGATGTTCACTCAATGCATTTTTAACTGAACCAAATTCCTGGGGGTGTTTCTGTGAATAACATTTCAGGAAGCAATGGCCTAGTTGGTATGAGTATGGCTGCTTTTAGGTAGAGCCTGATCAACTTGCCCAATACTTTTGGTAGTTTAAAGCAAAGGGGCTGTTAGAGCCTATTGATCAGCTTACACATGAGGGGGATGCTTCTATTTTTGGTTCTGTGGTTGTTGATTTATATGAGTGAAAGGAAAGAATTCTACCTTGCCCCTGGCAAGCTTCTTACCTCACAGGTCTGAAAATTAATTTTGATCTTTAAGTATATACTAAGGAGAAGTTGAAGGGCTGAGTAAGGAAGTGGTTCTTTCCAATGATGCTGATGAGAATGATGATAATACCTGCCCTTTATTTACCACTCACACGTGAAAGGCCTGCTAAGCCCTTTTCATGTATGCTCTTATTTCATCTCACATCAATCCTATAACATAGTTATTATTATTTCCATTTCACTGATTGGGAAACTGACTTAGTCTGAGGTCACATCCATAACTTATAGTGTTCTTAACATTGTATTATGCTGTCCCAACAACAACAACAAAACCAAGTCAGAACAGAGAGATAAAGGAGGCTAATGATACTGAATGAGCATCAGCCATTTACCAACTTTGCTCTTTGTGCTTCAGTCCTCAGGCTCAATTCCTGTGATTCAAATCATTTCTCATATCATCTTCTTGTGCTTCAGTGTTCCTGCTCTAGTGCTTCTTTTACAGCCCGTGTTCTGCTAGCGTGGAAAAGAAATTGCATTATGAGGCACACCGATATGTCTCCTTTGTCTATAGTGTTTAAATATTTCTTAAACATTTTTTTCAAAGACTTACTTATTCATTTTAGCAGGGGGAAGGATTCAGAGGGAGAGACAGTATCTCAAGCAGACTCCCCACTGAGCACAGAGCCCAACATAGGGCTCAA